GTCAGAAGACATGCCTCCACCTCCACGGCGTGTTCCCTTACATCTACGTGCCGTACGACGGCCATGGGCAGCAGCCGGAGCGCTACCTGCGGCAGGTGGCCTTCAGCATCGACAGGGCCCTCAACGTTGCCATGGGAAACCCCGCCTCCAGCACCCAGCACGTCTTCAAAGTGGTGCTGGTCTCCGGCATGTAAGCGCCTCGTCATCGTCACATTAACGGAGCCGATTCGCCCCAAAAAATAGCGTGAAACACGATTACAAATCTTATTTAAGATTCATAAAACAACAATGAGGAGGGGGGGGGTCCTAATGATGAGCGTCGCAGGTTGATGTCTCCCTTCTGCTCTGTCTCTCTCAGGCCTTTCTACGGCTACCACAACAAGGAGAAGCACTTTATGAAGATTTATCTGTTCAATCCTCAGATGGTCAAAAGGTAAGGTTACTGCGGATCGATGCAGTTTAATGTGAAAAGAGATCATCCCCGCGCTCCTGCCGTTTGATGTTACTGCACGCCGGGCTGCGCGCGCATGACTCCGGCTCTCGCTAAACTGAAATCGATCGCTGCGCACTCAGTTGTACAAATTGATTGGCTGAGAGGAGAGCGCGTGTGTGTGTGCGTGTGTTTGTGTGCGGTGGAAGCACACGAGAAGAACCAGTGACTTATCTGCCAGAGTGATCAACGTCAGCGGCGTGTGTGTGTGTGTGTGTGTGTGTGTGTGTGTGTGTGTGTGTGTGTGTGTGTGTGCATGTGTGTGGAGTCGTGCTGCTGAACTGGTACTTGGCAGACAGCGAGTGAGTCACAGAGAGGGAAGGAGGGAGAGTGACAGGCAGAGGCTGAAGGAGAAGACGAAGAATAAAGGAGCGAGATTAATAGAATAACTGACAAGAGGGTGAGGTGCAGATTAAAGGAAAACAGGAGAAGAGACGAAGGAAAAGAGGAGGGGGTTGAGTTGCAGATCAGCCAGTCAGTCAGCCAGCATGGTGCTCTGACCTTTTATAGAGGAAACATGACTCCAGGACAGACCTTAAACATGAATTGCTCCCCATTCATCTTCGCATACCCAGAAAAGGACTGTGGTACTGTGAGGATGATTCTGGAGAACAGGTTCAACACACTTTAACCCTCTGAGGTCTGACGGCGTTTATTTGATTTCTACATCATTTCTTAAATTCACCTTTTTAAAGGGTTCTTGCACATTACATAAAAGACCCAAAGTGTTAAATGTTTTAATTTTCAGAACAATCTCAGCTCTTTCTATAATGACGCCCCTTTTTGTCGCAGAGAAGAAAAGAGAACTTGAAGCCTAGTGTTTGAAATTCTTCAAATATTTTGTGAAAACAAACCTTTATTGTTCTGGATGAATTGTTCTTATGTTTCAAATGGATTTACTAAAGTCTATAGAGTCATAAAAATAGTGCAATATATGAGTAGAATGAATAATTTTGTAATATCACCGAGTCGTAGTGTCTGTCACTTTAACCAGATTTTAGAGGCAATGATTCACGTTTGATCTCACAAGAATATATAAGGGAAAGTGGAGAGTCTAGAGATTCTAACAACATTTAAACTGTGCTATCGCAAAGATATTAATAGAAACATCCGTCGACCTCAGAGGGTTAAAGCAGCAAATTGATTTTAAACATCAAAGTCAGTTGTATTATTTCCTCTGGCTGTAAAAATAAAGGCCTTTTTTTAATGTCTTTATGATGTCACTATGTCACATCAACAGGTCTTTTCTCTGTCTGTTTTCACTGGGAGAAAAACAACCTGTTGTGACCATTAACCCACTATGTTAGAAAAGGCCGCTTGATTTCAAAGGGAGGATCTAATCATTGCCTGAGCTTCACCAAAAGAAACCGTCTGTAGTGTCTCAATAACCTGTGTGTGTCGCAGGGTGTGTGAGCTGCTGCAGAGCGGAGCAGTGATGAGCAAGAGCTACCAGCCCCACGAGGGCCACATCCCCTACCTGCTGCAGCTCTTCATAGACTACAACCTGTACGGCATGAACCTGGTCAACCTGGGAGCCGTCAAGTTCCGCAGGAGCCAGAGCAAAGGTAAGAGATGAGGGGTTTTTCCCTTGTGTCCCGGGTTTCTTTTCCTTCGTCCTGAGGTTATGATTATGTCTACCTTGTTTCTCTTTGGGGCAGTTCTTATGTTAGCCCCCCCTCCCCCTCCTGTGAGCTTTAGTAAGTGGCCTACTTTGGCTGTGTCATCAGTGTGGACAGTGAGGGCAGAGCTGGGCTCCTTCATGCTCACTGCACTCTGTTCCCTGTGGCTCAGCGGGGACAGAGAGCGGCCCAGGACCGGCTGCCGTGGCTTTTGTCACGTTGAATTAGTCGTGATCTCACCTCTGCCTCAGGACGCCTCTGTTGTCTTCTGAAAGCCCTCTCTGTTTTTTCCTCCCTCGCGTTGCCCCTCGTGCACTTTTTGCTTTCACATTTTCTTCCCGTCCCCTTTTCGGATCGTCTTGCCCATTTTAACCATTTTGGTTCCTTTCAACTGCTGCTCAGAAAACGAAAGAGTAAAAACCAGCGGAAAATCACGTGGGAAGTTTCCACAGAAACAGGAGAGAGAGAGAGAGAGAGAGAGAGAGCTCAGACTTGTAAAGAAAAGAAGAAGAACAAGCGAGCACATATTTGTGTTGGTAGCAGGGACTTCTCCACGTCTCCAGACTCTCTCTGTTTTACATAATCAATATCTCCAATCTTACGTTTGGATTCCGTGTTGCCCGCTGTTTGCCAGGTACAAACGCTGTGATACTTAAAGTGTTGACACTGAGAGCAGCTGTAGGAGGGAGCTGAATGTGACCCATCCATTCTTTAGCCATACCGCTGAGAGGGGGGGGGGGCAGGTCCAAATCCGGGACGTCCTTGGTGTGAGGTGACCCTAACCCCCCCCCCCCCCCCCCCACTGCAAATACAGACTCAGCTTGGTTGAGACGAGGGGCCCACCGGGAATTCTTCCGGACGCTCCTGATTCCCCCTCCACCACTGGTGCGTCCTGAGTGGGGAGGCAGTTTGCTCTTCAGGCGGTGTGAACTCGGTCGCAGTCTCTCGGGCCTCGCGGTGGGCGTGTCAGACTGAGGGGTCCCTCCTCAGACCCCGTTTGATCAGAGCTTTAGTCGTAGCCTCAGACCAGCACCTCCGCTCCGCCTTCACGTGTGACGGCGTTGACGAGTCGGGACAGGAAATTCCTCACTTGACTTTAATAAAGTTCCTTTTTCAAAATCCTCACGCTTGAGTCTCCTCTGACAAAAGCAGGGTTCCCATGTTTGATCCACCTCTACAATGATGCAATCAATAGAAAGAGGCTCCAATCCCCCGTACGACAAAGAAGCCAAAATACTCCAATAATGGGTACACCTGTTTACATTCTCTTCTCCCCTCAAGTGATAAAACTTGAAAGCAAGTTCTTAATCTGGGATCAAGTGAAGGAATGATGAAAGGGGCCGGGCCGGAAAAATGGGCCATTTTAAGATGAATAGAACTCTTAATGTGTTTCGAAGTCCATTATTCAGCCTGAACACACCGTGTTTCAGTCTCACTTCCTGTTACAACCTGAGTTCACTGCATTATAACTGGATTCATCCTTTTATATCATTAATAACAACTCTGTCTTCACCCCAATCAATAACAGTAGAATAATTACCCATGTAATTGTCCATGTAAATATTAATTAGTTATTTAATCAGCAACATTTTAACCTGTCAGCTCGTTTACAACCCGTCTGATGGACCGGTCGTTTCCTGCCCTGTCAGACTTGGTTGTCCTGGTGTCAGTGTATGGAGGACCAGGGAGGCCACACGAAAATTAATAAAACATTTCCTTAATTTCATATTTTAATAGGAATTAAAATTAGTAATTGTAAAAAGAATTTATGAATGAACGATTAATCCATCAGTAAACACCATAAAACTCTCATTAGATAAAACATTTATAAATACATGTATCAATTCATGAATAAATGACATTGTAATGTAGAATTTAAATGTATAAATTATAAAATGGTTTTACATTATAATGTAGTAATGGGCATTTTAAAATGGGAATACATTCCTCAATTCATATAGTATAATATATAATAATAGTTTTCCTTTTTTTAAGTTTTTCAATTTGTCATTTATTCATGAATTAATACATTTATTTTTAAATGGTTTATTTAATGAGTCTTTTGTGCTGTTTTTGTAAATCCATTTTAAAATCTGATGTATTTATTTATGGATTAATGGTTCATTTATAAATTATTTTTACATTTCCTATTTTTAACGCCTATTAAAATATAAGGAAATGCTTTATTAATTTTCCTGTGACATCACTGCTCCTCCACAGCTCTGTTCCCACATCTCCACAGTTTCACTCAGTTTTAATCTAATCTGTTAAACTAAAACACAAGTTGTAGCCAACAATTTGACAAAGTTCAGTCATTAAGCTAATTAATTTTTACTTGCACTGCAGGTCACAGGAGGAAAGACCTGTCAACACCATCCAGATAATCACACTCATTTTATTATACATATCTCAGGCTGTGGCTCATGTGTATTGTAAATTTCCACCTGTGAAATCAATGGAAATGTCTTTTTTATCCTCAGAGAAGCACTATGATATATTTCACTCATGTCATGTCTGTGTTTGTGTTTCTTGCAGAAGTCCCAGACAGGCAGACTCCCAGTCGTCCCAGCATCAGCCCCTGGAAGAGTCCCTGCACCTCCAAGCTCAACGACAGCAGCCTGGGGGGTACGTTCGTCCGCTGGGAGGAGAACGCCATACCCTGGTGAGTGCCACCTGCACAGACGCTGCTGCATTATCTTTTTGTTTTTACTGGGTGCCGTACCGGCTGCAACGTGACAGCCAATGACGAGTTACCTCCTGCGGTTTGAAACATCCCAAAAATGAGTTTAAAGTTTTGTTTTTTCTCATTTTAGAAAATATCTTTGCTTTTCTGCTCTCACCAACATTTTCTTTTTAGTTTCTTTAAAAGTTTTTATTTGTATGTTTGTTTTATTTTTTTTTATAAAACAAAGAAATAAAAACTGAAAAATCAAAAGCGAATACAATTCAAATCCATGATGTTTCTCGACTTAGCTAGCGCTTGAAGGTTTTATAATAATATTCTGTCTGCAGCTCCTTAGTTCTGGATGACGTGGCGAAGCAGAGCACCTGTGAGCTGGAGGTCGACGCCGTGGCAGTAGATATCCTCAACCGCCTGGAAATTGAAAGTAAGTTCCCTCAGGACATCGTGCCGACCGGTGCAGCCGGTCGCTGTCAGAGGTGAGGTCTACTCCGACACAGTTGTAGGAATAAGACGGGGGAGAGAAGGAAAGGTGAAAGGTTGACTGTATGAGTCATCTGTGCTCGAGGTACAACAGGGTTCAGATTACTGCTGGGACCCTCCGACTGTCTCCACACATCAGAATCAGTTAACGGCCCTCAACGTAAACACTGGGGAGCTGACCTAACACAGCCTGTCGCAAGCAGACATTAACAGAGATGAGGGAATCCATCTCTCTGCAGAGTCCTTAAGTATCAGGGTTTAGTGAATGTGTCTGTGACCTTTTTTGGTCTTAAAGACGCCTGGTGCCGCTCGGTGCTGTGTTGTTAATAAAGTTAAACAACAAAAAAAAAAAGGTTAGATGCTGAGTGCGGTAAGTCCTGACGGCTCGTTTTAAGGTGCATTGTGGATTGAGCACATTGATACTTTCACAGTGTTTGTCCAGCACCTCAAGCTTTGTCGTCAAGCGGCATCCTTAAAAAAAAAAAACGTGTTAAAAACTGCAGTTCCTCTAACGACCACTAGAGTCTGGCTCCAACAGTGAGTCAGTCCCCATAGACTCCCATGTTAAAATGTCCAACTTTACAGCAGAAATCAACATGTCCTCCTTCATGACACCTGTTTATATTTTATTAAGGACTAAAGTTATGAATAATAGAGGGCGGGGCCTCTTTGAGTGACAGGTGGGTGAGCGTATTCTTGCCACAAACAGGTGTGCACTGAAGTCTCAGCTCCACACACAAACCCTCCTCTTTGTCCATTTTTGGATTAGCTGGGAGTTAGAGGCGGAGTCAGACACTGCCAAGATGGCGACGGCGAAGCAGCTCACTCTGAGCTTCAAAACTGCTCTTCAGAAACCTGTGGGTGACGTCAGGGAGACTACGTCCATCTTTATTCACAGTCTGTGTTTATAATTATTGAAAATCTCACATCAATACATCTGGATTATGTTTATTTGAGAGTGTGAGGGGAGAAACGCTTGGATCAGAGGGGGAAGAGGAGTCACTACATGTTGATAACAAAGCTAAACATCCATCTTCTCCCTCACTGAGACGCCAAAGATCTGCCCTTTTATTTCTGACTTTGTGAGTGAAAAACGTCTCTGTCCACAGGAAGTGTCAAACTGAACTGTGCTGTTAAACAAATGGAAAGTTTGAAGAGGCAGCTGGAGTCACAAGTGTTGGATCTTTTTTTTTTTTTGGTCCCTTCATTCGAAGCAAACCGTTGGTAAACACATGATTTAGATCAGGCTGGACACAGAGGGGTAAACCACACCAAGCATCTGCCTGAGAGTGAAGAAAGAGAAGGAGAGGCCAGTCCAGGCCAGTGCGTGTGTGGTGACTCATGCTTTTCCATCCGCTTTATAACAGTATATTAAAACTGTGCTGCTGAAAACAAGAGTTACAGCATCTATGGGATGAATTTTATGGTTTTAACGTTTATTGGTCAGCGCAGCTTATACACAAACACCAGAAATGTTTAGTCGTCGGGTTCAACACTTCCATAAAAAGACAGTGATACAGTGTGATGGTATCGTCAGCCCACACGCCGTGTTGTGACTCGTCTCGTCTCGTCCAGATCAGATTGGCAGGAACCCAGGCCTGCAGGCCATCTGGGAGGACGAGAAGCAGAGGAGGAGGGAGAAGAACCAGGCCACCCAGATAGAAACCCCCGAGTCACAAGGTGAGGAGATCTGCAGTGTAAACTCTGCTTATTGATCCAGTACTTTAACGGTTCTCTTACCACTTCTTTTTGTTGTTGTTCTTTAGATTTTATTATTTATATGTACTGTATATCAATTAACATTCCTGAGTAGCAAACTGTGACAGCAAATCACTATTGGTTTAAATCATCGACCCAACTGTTGCTTATTGTTCAGGATTTAGAATAATAATTCTGGTTTATTGCGAATTAAGTCTTAATTTTGTTAATTGCTAAGTTTTGGGAAGACGGCAACTTACAGACCAACTTCGTGGTTTAACTTTGACCCACAGTACTCACCGTAGCACACGGTGTCGTTGTGCAACGAGAGACCAAGATTTCAGTTGTGCTAACTTGATTTTATGTTTTGAATAAAGTGATGTAGGTCAGTGTTTCCACGGCAGGTAATGAGCTTGAACTTGCTGCAGGTTGTTGCATTAATTTGGGGGGAAAAAAAAGAGTCTGTTCAGACCAGAATCAGAGACTAGCAGACGGGTCAGAGCTGTTAGCGTAGTTAGCATCTTCTACATGTTCATGTTGTTTGTTAGCTTGTAGCTGGCAGTGGCTGACACAGTGTTAGCGGTTGAGCTAATGCTAACTCTCTTACTCTCTGCACTGACGGGAGCGCAAGTTGGTCATTGGTGGAAACACTCAGTCATGGTGCTGATGATTATTTCATCATCATATGTCGTCATTAACAAGAGGAGGTCTTTCAAACACATGGATCAATGACTTAGATGATCTAGAAAACAATAATTCACTGATTTTAAAGTAGGTCATCAGTACAAGAGGTCAACACCTGTGGGAGGACTTTACCTGAGTATTTAGGTCTGTCCGTGTTTTTTAAATGTGAGTAACCAAAACGAGGCTGGGAGCTCCTGGTTTAGCGATCTGGCTGAACTGTTGTCTTGTTTAAGAGAGTGGATGGTTTGAAATTAAATGGTGTTGGCAGATAATAGAAAGAAGTTGCATTCAAAGCTTTAGCAGAGCCGAAGTGAGCTGTTTTCATTTCGGTGGCGCCGGCCTCTCTGCTCTCTGTGATGGTCGTGACAGTGTTTTCGGGCGACACAAACTCTTTTGTGGCTAACTGTATTGTTTCATCATGTCTGGATCCTCATTATCCGGCTATCACATCTGTCTTAGTTTTGTTGTCGAGGCCTTATTCCAGTGAAAGACGACGTTTTCCATTACCTCCACGCGTCACAGAGGCATCAGTCTTAAAGCTGCCTGTGTGAGCGGCAATACACGAACTTTAATCTTGCAAAACTCTGACTTATCGCCGCACAGTTCTCGTGGAAACGGGGGGGGGGGGGATAAATAATCGCAGGCTTATCTGCTGTGTTGTGATGAAATGTGCAGGACTACGTCCAAGTACACAGGGTTCCCAGGTCTGAGAAGTGCAGCGAGAGGAAATGATGGTGTCCAGGTTTTACACAGATTTTACTTTGGAAAGGTTTTGTTGTTTACGCCCCTGAGTGTAGATTTACATGCAGTCTCATTTTATTACTGTGTGCACACTGAACAGACATCACTAACCAACATGTTTCAAAACCGTGGCTCAGACTTTCTGGCCCGTGAAACTCTGGAATCCGAGAACAGAGCGTTTCCAGGAATGATGAAGTTGTTTCTCTGATGTGTTCCAGATCGCGAGTTCGTCACTGTGACGGAGAGCGAGAAAATCTTCATGAAGAGATTCAAGGAGATTCTGAAGGAGAACGAGTTTGACGTGTAAGTTGTTCATCCTTCATCTGATCTGTTGATGTGGTGACAGCCGGGTCTCGTCAGACGTTTTCAGAACAAATCAGATCTGAGAGTTGTTGTTGGACAATCGTCCCGCCCCCCCCCCGGAGGAAAGCCAGAGTCGCTGCAGAGAGCTGGAATTTCTGGAAGAAGAGAAACAATGTTTGATAATAAGCACAAGATGCTTGAGACGAGTTTCCCACAGTCTCGGACCACATTCGTCTCAAGTTTCTCTTCTTCTTTGGTTCTTTGTGTTGAACTGTGATGAAGCCATCGGATGTCCTCAGTTTCCCCGGGCGTCTCAGCTTCACGTCCGCCTCCTCTTTCCTCTCAGGGCAGCGAGCGAGGGAGTGAAAGCAGAGGTTGGAAGACGGGGGGAAGGAGTGACGGAGTCGGAACAGATGTATAGAGCGGGTGGGAAAGAGGGGAAGGAGAGAGTAAAATGATGAGGTCACACACTCCTCCCTCCTACTCCCACCATGTTTAGGCAGAAACTATTTCCTGTTACAACTAAAAGTACAGTTGGCTCAGCAGCCGTGCGTGATCTGCATCAGATCCAGATGGCTCCTATTCACCCCCTCCGATATCAAACAGGGAACAGAGGAGAGGTCGGGGGGGTGGGGGGGTGGGTGGACTCTCCTTGCACATGGGGGGCTGGGCTTGAGTGATGGAGCACACACAGTTCGCTGGCAGCTCTCCCGGGGCCCGGCCGCCTCGGTCACTGTCTCTGTTAATACTCACACACAGTCTGTCACCTCGCTGCCGTTGGCTTGTTCCTGCTGCTGCTGCTGCTGCTGCTGCTGCTGCTACACCTTCATGTTTTGGGCAGAAAAAAATGTTACCTGATATTTTGGAAGACGGAGTCTTCTGATAATATATCATTCAAAAACAACAAAAAGAACAGATTTCTTTTTCTTTTTTCTTTTTTTCTTTTTTGCTTTTGTTTCCTCGGGGCAAAAACAAAACATGAACCAGCTCGTCACATGATTCATCTGATGTTACAACATGTAAAAGTTGTAATATTTAGAGATAGATGGTGCTGGGGGTCAAAATCTCCATTACTCAAACCCTCATAGTGAAACAGAGGGGGGGAGGGGGGCGTGGCATGGTAGCGAAATGTGTTAATCGCCGCTGTAATCTCCCGACGCCTGCCAGGCTCCCTCCCTCGTCGCCTCTAAAGTCGTTAACCAGCAGACTAATTAAGAGGCAGCCAGACAGTGGCACGTGCACACCGACTCTCTGGAGCCCTTTTTCCTCACGCGCCCCGGCAGAACAAAGTCTCTGAACGACAACGAGGCTGCAGTGAAGTCCCAGCAGAGAAATGTCAGCTGATGACTCAAACTCTAAAACGCTGATTTGGTACAGTTACAGTCGTGTGTTCGTCGCTCGTCGCCACGGAAAATCATTCATCATCCATCAGCCTTGCTACCAGGTTGGGTTTTACCATTCGTCCTCAGCTCATTCATCATTTTAAAGAGAGTGAACGTTTGGTCATGTGACTGTGACTTCAAGTGCTGCAGCGTGTTTCATCAGAACATCTTTCCATGGTTGAATTTATCCTGCAGAAGTTGATAACGCTCGCCCGCAGTCAGGAGTCAGCGGCTTGAGGGCATTTAATATTCACTTCCTCCTGCTCGCTGTGGGATTTAAACCTGCGACCTGCGGAGCACGAGGCTCTGATCAGATCCCTCCTCACACAGGGTTCGAGTCAGTTCAGAAATCCATTTCTTTCTTTCTTTTTTTTAATCATCATTCCTGGGAAATTTGTTCCACTTGCAGGTGGCGCCCGCCCGCCCCATCCTTACTCTTCATTTCAATATTTCAGAGTCACTAAGTGGTAGTGAGTTGCTAGGCGATGCAGCAGGGCAGTATGGGTAAAGGAGCATGATAGGCAGCTTGTTGCTGAGAGCACTCTTGGCTGCCTGCCCGTTTTCCATTCATATTCCCTCTCCAACACACAGACGCACCGCACTTAGCTGCACACACACACACATATACTCACACACACTTATCAGATGAGAGACACTCTCCACACTTGTGCAGCCACACACACACACACACACACACGCACTTGCAGCTCTGTGTACACATACACAGAGTAAACAGATCACTTCCCCTGATTAAGACCCAGAGTAAAGAGATGCTAATAAAACACGACTGCATGAGGCAGATACCAGCAGGTCCTCTGCTTCGTGACTCAGGTAACAAACTCTCTGAGCTGCTGATCTGCAGGTCAGAGCTCATTCAGGCCAAATGGGAGAATTAGTCTGCAGTCCTTATAAAGGATTTGTGAATGGTTTATAACTAGTTTATTATTAGTTTAACATTTTTATAAGCTGTAATAACAGATTAGGATAAAAGGGCAGTGGTGATCAGGTTAATGGCCAAGTAGGTTTTCAACATAAAAGAATTTGCTTCAGTGTTTTATAGACAAAGTTAGAAGAAAATAAATATAAACAAAGATGAAACAGATATAAATAGAAAAAAATNTATAACAGATTAGGATAAAAGGGCAGTGGTGATCAGGTTTATTGCCAAGTAGGTTTTCAACATAAAAGGAATTTGCTTCAGTGTTTTATAGAAAAAGTTAGAAGAAAATAAATATAAACAAAGATGAAACAGATATAAATAGAAAAAAATAACAATAAGATAAAAAATATTTACAATAAAATGTGAAGAAATATTATAGAAAAATATATACGATACAAATATGTTTCATCTCATTTTTACAACCATTTATCATCAGTTACAAACATTAATACCTGGTAAAATGCCTTATTGTAAAGTTTAAAACACATCATTTATTACTGAGTTACTACAAGGCTCCTTTTACCTGTTATAAATGGTGCTAACTCCGCCTGCATCAATGTATGAAAACTGTGTTATAACTTGTTTATAATTGTTTATTTAGTTACAAACATTAATACGCAAGCAAATTAAGAACCTAATTATAAACCATTTATAAATCCTTTATAAGGAAGGTCTTATTGTAACGTGGCACCCAGTTTGTTCCCAGTATCTGAAGCTCGGAGCCGTAAAATTACCTCTTCATTATTATTATTCACCATCGTGCAGAAATGAATTCATATCGTCTCTCTGCTCAGAACACAAGCTTCGTCTGTGGGCGACGAGGAGGACGACCACGAGGATTTACCCGGTGACCTCACTCTCCATTCTGACCCCCTGACCCCAGAGGGGCCGCTGTGCACTCCTGCCAACGCTGTGGAGGTGCACAGGGACTCGCAGCCAGGTGAGGAAGAAAGAACCTGCTCACCGTAGCCGCAGCTACGTGTTAGCTGGTAGAGCTCGTATATACTGAGCAGCTACAGCTATGCTAAAGGCTAACCCATAACACGATGTTTAAATAAAGTTCTTCTTCTTCTTCTTCTGTGAGACTGACGTTTCTTTTCATTCTCCCTATCACTCCCACTGTGTCGGGGGGAGGGGGAGTGTAGAAACTGCCGGGGGCGGCCAGTGGCATACACACTGACCTCACGCTGAACCACAGGGCCGATGCCGCCCTGGTGTGTGTGTGTGTGTGTTGACGAATCTTTGACGCTGTTTCAACCAAGATATGCTAACTGCTTTTTTTCTTCTTCTTCTGCTTTTCCTCCTCCAGACTCTGTGAGGAACAGCGGTAAAATCCCGGAGGAGGCTGTGGTTGATGAGGAGGCCATCTTGAGTCTCCTGGAGAACAGTCAGACCTTCCTCCCGCTCTCCCAAACATCCAACCACTCACCTCTGTTAGGTACGATCCAGACACAGCTCTGATCTGCTCACCGTCTGATATTCTCCTCAAACATATATTACAATATTTAAAATCCTGTTTCCATCATAAATCGTCTGGTTTTTCTGTTGACAGTCTGTGGATATACTATTTTATTTTTTTTAAACCAATTTCAAGGCAATTTATAGGTTTGATTTGATTGATTAGCCACATTTAAAGTTGTTCCTTGCAGCTAATTGATAAAATGTGATTTAAATGCTTTGCTTTTGTTGTCTGTGCAGACAGCAGCCAAGACCACGCCATCATTGATTTGCTGGCCGGCCTGGAGGACGATGGTTTCTGCAGGACCACCGTTGGGCAGAGTTCCCAGCCCCAGTCTCTTCCCGGCGCCAGGAGCTACCACTGCAACAGTGACGAGGAGGAGGCGGAGCCGGAGCTGGACAGAGCGGAGGCAGAGCTCAGCGTGATAATGTCACAGCGGTGGGACAACGAGGCTCCTCAGAGGTCGTCCTTACAGAGGCACGTCTGTTGTTGTGAACCTGCTGCGACTCATGATCCGACTCAGGGACGATGAATTTAAAAACAGGTGTAGGCAGAACATGGGAACGTTCCCAAGTTCTAAACTTAAATGTGAAAAGAAAAAATTCTCACACGACATGTTTTCATTACCATTTCTGCGACGCTAAAACCTCAGACTGCACAGATGAGTCATAAACAGGAAGCAGGAAGGTGAATGCATGCTCACCTGAAATCCACCTGATTGTCTGATCATCATTGATCGCACAGGACTCTAAACCAAACAATCGAAGCGATCGAATTGGCGTCAAAATGAGTCTGTCATTGAGATAAATGAAAGAAAATGTACGTTTCACTGTCCCCATTGAAACACGAGCCAGCCGACGGCGAGCAGTCGCATGAAGGTCGTCCACAGTGATCTGTGCCCGTGCAGCGTTTAATCAGTGCTCCTGTCATTCCCGTGTGTGCAGGCCCGGTGTGAGGGAGGCAGAGGACGGCTTCAGCGAGGAGCAGCAGGAGTCCTCTGATGAGGACATGGAGTGGAGTGGGAATAACTCTCTCTTCGCCAACCTGTCCATCCCCCAGCTCGACGGGGCGGCGGACGAGAACAGCGGTGAGTCATCTCACGCTGAGACACACAGAGACGGCACTTAAATGTCAGATTGCTTTGATGCTTATCTTACATCTCCTGCTGATTCATGTCCCATGGAGGATATCACAGTACGGACCTGACAGCGGCCGCACAACAAACATCTGGGTTGACACCAGGTCTTAGCTGCATGATCCAATTTCATTTTGGGGGAGATGTGATTTAATGCTGGATAATACAGGACGTTGGGGTTTTAGATGATGATCTGGAGTTGAATGAACTCTTCAGAAACGTTGCAGTGGCTGTGGAGGCAGAGTTTGGTACGTGGTGGAAGTTAAACGCTTATTACGCTGCGTATTTATCTGTTTTTATCTGTCACTTTTATTTAAGTCATTTTCTTTTTTACGTTTCTTTGATGGAGACAGTCGAGACCGATGGGAAATACAGGGAGAGAGCAGGAGCAAGACATGCAGATCATGGTCTGGGAATCAAACCGCTGCTGACCAGAGCACATTCTCACGCTTTCCTCACACTCGCACATGTTTCATTCAGAGGTGACGAAAGACCAAGCCGTGGTCAAACTCCACGTTTTCCTCCCTCATTCCTTCATGTTTTCTGCATCACTGTCTGTCCCTGCCGCTTCCTGTTTGTTTTGGCATGAAAAAGCAAAATGAGCGAACTCCAGCCATTTTCCTTCTTAACCACGGGTCGAGAGGAAAGAGGGAAAACGATATTCGCTCGCTCGTGGGTCCCGCACAGCGACTGACAGGATTTATAGTTTAGGGGAAGAGAGGAATAGGAAAAGAAAATACACAGATTTTGATGTAAAAACACACATCAAGAGATAAATGAACAATTAACACGGAGACTGTAACTTCATGGCATGATATGTATTTGATGGCTGATATATATATAAAATACTGATATGCTTTTTTTATTTTTTGCATCTGATAAAGTACAGTTTAATAATAATAATAACAAATGAGATACAAAAATTGCTGAATGTAAATGAACATGTATTTAACACTAGATTTTAATCTATTTCTTGCATCTGCTTACTGACGGTCCACTTCTTCTTCTACTCCTTCTTCTTCTTCTTCTGTTGCTTCCGTAGATTCCTCGTTAACGGACAGCAGCTCCAGGACCCAGTCTTCTCTCATAGTCGCAGAAAAGATGCTTGGAAAGAGGAACCCCTTCCCCGGGGAGACGGTTCACCTGGAGCCCCCCTCCTCGGCCAAGACCCTTCTGGAGTACAAGCACCCGGAGCACAGACCGGTTCATGTGCTGGACACGGAGCAGCCGCTCGACAAGCACTTTCAATTAAAAAGCAGCCAGGACAGCAGCAGTGAATGTTCAACGGGGTTCAGGGTTAATAAAGAAATCCCCTACATCCCGCCGGTCAAACACCCCATCCCCTGCAAAATAGCCAACCACCCCGAGGCGTCGCCCTGTGTAAACAAAGAGGATATCCAGCCCCTGTACACCTATGACAAGAAAACCTCTATAGCCTTGGATAAGACAGAATTAGAAAGTTTCCCGTTTGGTAACGGACAAGTCACCAAAAGCAGGAAGAAGTACAGCAGCATAAAGAATGTAGAAACAAACTGTCTGTCCATTCTCCAGAACCACAGGACCTTCTCTCTCTGTTACTCCGAGCTGAGGAACTGCTCGGCCAAGACGGAGCTGGAGCTGAGCCAGAAGGACGGTAAAAGCCCCATCCTGAGGAACATGTCGTCCGCCCCGTCTCCCATGGAGGAGGGGGAGTTCCTCGATCCGCAGGAGGAAGAGATGGGCCAGGACAGCGAGGAGGGTGACGTCGGCGAACTCAAAATCAGGTACGAGGACTATCAGGAAAATAAGACGGAGAAGACTATCGTGGCCCAGCAGGAAGCGCACTACAAGTTCTTTCCCAGCGTCATCCTCTCTAACTGCCTCAGCCGGAAAAAAGCTGGCAGCAAGAAGCTAACGGATTCGTGCAGCAAGTCGGTGGAAGCCCAGCCTCGCAGGTCCAGGCTAAAAGTGAATAAAAGAAGGTTAGGGATGACGGGACAGAGGAACAAATTAAACACAGTTGAAAGCTCTACCTCTGACAGCTTCACCTCAATCACCGCTGCTGTGGACGCAGAGATGCCACCTTCAGACGAAAGGGCCGAAGAGGCAGAGCCGGTTCAGGATGAGCCCGTCACAGAGGGACAGACGGCGGCACAGGAGGAGCCAGAACTGGAGGACGGGTTTGAAAGTGAAAGGACAGAGCCAGAGGCTCCCGAGCCCGCTCTCTCCAACTCCACCTCCACCGCCGTTTCCTGTCTTTCCGAAGAAGCTACAGACACGGCGGAGGACAGGTTAAGCCCGCTGCAAGATTTATCCGCTAAAGTCACCTGCACCAAACCTTCAGCTCTGCCCGGGAGTAAATACACCCTGAGGGCCAAACGGAAAATGATCTACGACGGCGAGGACGGAGAACACTCGGGTGCCGCTCGTTCAAAAAACCCAGCCGCCGTCAAGGACAGCGGCAAGGTCAAGGACAGCGGTGTCCTCGGCGTGCAGGAGGCAAAGTACCAGAAACGGCGCAAGAAAGAACCCCCCATCATCATCAAGTACATTATTATCAACAGGTTCAAAGGACAGAAGAACATGCTGGTGAAGATGTCCAAGGTGAACGCCGAGGAGCCGCTGGTGCTGCTGACGCCGGGGAAACTGGATCTGTACAATAAACTGGCTCCTCTGAAGGATTTCTGGCCCAAAGTGCCGGAATCCACTGCGGTCAGGTTCCCCGTCGCCGAGCCCAAGGCCAAGAAACACCCCAAACGAAAGGCAAAGGTCAACGCCACCAATAAGAAGACGGCCGGCAACGTCTCCAGACCTCGAGTCAGGCAGGGCGAAGGGGTCAGAAGGACTAAAGGCTGTCAGAGAGGTCCGATCCTCCCCTCTCTACCGCCCCCTCGCCCGTGTTACTGTGAGCTAGCCGATGACCATGACGTTGAGTATACGGATGTCATGGTGGAGTTGGGATACCTCTCCGATCGATCTCCGAGCCCCACGGACTTGACGCCCCCCCGTTGTTGGTCCCCAAGCGACCCTCTTATGGACGGCTCTGAACAGCTGATAAACCCGCTCAGCGACCCGTGTCTTAGCTCCGCTTTTCACAAGCCGCGCGCTGCGTCTTCAACCACTGGAGCGCGAAACAAGCGTCAAACTGCCCGCTGTAAGAAACCTGCAGAGAGTAGAAGGAAAGTAAACAAGTCGGCCACCAAGCCTCCAGAGGAAGGAGAGCCCAGAGCGGCTGCTGCGAGGCAGAGGAAGAAAGCTAAAGGTGCGGCCGAAGGTCCTAGCAACAGTCCCGCAACCGCAACCAAACCGAAGAGGACTCGCAAAAAGAAGACAGCAGAACCCAAAAGCCTCGAGTCGAGTAAAGACGGCTCTCAGCTCCTCTTCCCAGAGGAAGAGCCGCCTCCTTCTGAGAGCTCCTCTCAGGAGTTGCCTCCATTTCAGCGGGCGGTCAGCACAGACGGCGACAGCCAGGGCGCCGTCCAGACTGCACCCACACCAGACTCCAGCTCAGACGCCCGGTCCGTAGAGCCAAAGGTGGAGGACTGTGAGACTTCAATCATGGAGGTCAACCGAAGCCTCTCACCTCATGTGAAGCAGCAAAGCTGCCAGACCACTGTGGTGAAGGCGGAGGCGTCACAGGAGGAGTGCGCGGCTCCTCCGCCTCCCCTGGCTGGTCGACTCTTACTGGAAGACGGTAAAGAAGCCTCCCCACACTCAGGCCCTAAGAACGGGGAGATCCCCGCTCTGTGTGACACCCCCTCCGGCTTGACTGTCCTCAAGCAGCTTCTCCAGAAGAGGCAGCAGGGACAGACGCTTCCCCGACAAGTGGTCGGTGCACACAGCCACTCCACTGCTGTGGCTCAGGCCGCAGCGCTGCTAGATCCTACAGCTAAACCAGCCAAATCCAGAAAAGCTCCCTCCACCTCTCAGCGTAAACCCAGGGCGCCGAAACCTGCCACCCCCAAGAGTAAAAAGCCCCGAATCAGGAAAGGCAAGACGAGCGGCACTCAGCCAGATCCGACAGTGAAGCAGGAGGGCAACGTGTCGGACGACTGCCCCCTCTTTCTGTCAGACCCGGGCCTGGACGCTTGTAACTTCATAGAGGACAGCTTGTCCCCGGAGCTCCCGCACAACTACACGTTCGATATCAACGCTATTGATCAGACGGAGTTCTCCAGCCCGTACAGCGGCAGCCAGTTTGTCCTGACTGATAAAAATTTACCGGTCAAGTTCCTGAGTGACGTGAGCCAGGAGGCCGTGTGCGCTCAGAGCCTGGGCTTCGAGAAGAAACTGGACAGGCTGTTTGTCTGTGGGGAGGAGCTTCAAAGGGGCTCAGACTGGCACAAAGCGAGGCCGGCGAGCCCCGACCTCTTCGACAGACCCGAGAACAAGGAGTCCGCGACGAATCACCTCACGTTCCTCGACTCTGAGCGAATCAAGAGCAGAGAGTGGGACCTCTCTTTATGTAAAGCCCACAGCCTCAGCCCCTTTCAAGACTTTCACTGTGAGAGAAAAGAGCTGCTGTTTTCCGTCTTCGAGCCCGTCCTGCCGCTGCCTTTAAGCTCCGCCTCCTTCGTCGACCACGAGGGCTCACCGACGGGGGATCTCCTGGAGGGCATGGATGGACTGACGTCCACCACGCCCAGTAGCTCCCCCCGCTCCGTCGGCTCGCTATCCCAGGTGAGGGCGAGCCAGCTGCTGCGGGGGACGGGAGGCGGAGCCCACGTCCTCAAGCCCCTCATGTCCCCTCCGAGTCGGGAGGAGATCCTCAACACTCTGCTGGACCTGGAGATGTCGGAGGCGACCTTCCAAGAGCCCTTCTGCAGCGACCCCTCCGACGCCCCGGGGAAACCAATGTAAGACTGTACACACCAGCAACCAGACATTATATATATCATCACATTCAATACAGTGGATAGATTAGATGTAGTGGAGAAGGAAGCACTCAGGTAAAGTACAAGTACCTCAAAATAATACCGTTTACTTATAGTCACCTGACTCCAGAGCCTCTTACGCCTCGAAGGATGGCTTCTCCACTTTCTGTGGTGACGCTTAAAATGTATTATTGCCTCTGTATGAATAACAATGTCAAAGGTAAAAAATATTCAAAACGACTGGCTTGCTTTATGAGGAATGAAATGTGTAAAACTGCTTTATTTGATCAATATATTGCGTGTGATTCATTACTAGATTTAGTTTAATTCTATCACAGTAATGTATATGATATAATTAAACTCTGTCTTTGCTCCAGGGAGGTTGGCGGCCGTAAGCTAACGGTGGGCACCAGACTGACGAAGGAGCTAGCAGAGTTCAGCGGAGAGCTCTCTTTGGAGGGCCTCTGCTTCTGGAAGACGGCTTTCTCCGCCATGACGCACCCCGCCGCCAATATTACCTCATGTTCCCAAGCGCAGGGAGCCTCGGAGGCGAGCAAAGAGCCGGCCCGACGCGACCCGTCCTCAGCCGGCGACAAGAAGGTCATTCTTCTGCCCTGCAAAAACCCACCGAGCCGAGAGCGCGTCAGTCTGTGGCTGGAGGCCAGGAAACAGTACGAGTGTCTGCAGAAGTGGAGGAGAGACACGGGGCTGCTGAAGAACAACGGGAGGGCTGGGTTGGATTTTGAGGAGGAGAACCCGGAGAGAAGCGCGCAGCCATCGGTGAAGGTGGAGCTGTGCGGGAACCTCTCCGGTGTCAGGCCTCAGAGGAGGAAGAAGCGGAGTCTGTCCTTAATCATATCTCCTCTGAAGAACACAGGCTCTCACAGTAAATCCTCACAGGTGAGTCCAGTCTCAGATGAAGGAGCTGTGGATCTTGAGCAGGAGGAACAAGGCAAAGGTGATGATGGTGATGATGATGATGATGATGATAAAACCACCTCTCCAGAGTCCCCCGAGCTGCCTCCGTGGCAGCAGTCCTGTCAGCCCAGCCCCTCAGGCCCAGACCAGCTCGGCTCAAACAGGCAGAGTGAAATCTCTCCAGAACCGCCGTCACCTCGGCTCTCTAACTCCCTGGAGCGGCTCGGAGAGAACCGCAGTCCCTCGCGCCTCCGTGTCAGCAGTAACAGGGAAGATGGCAGGAGTAGTCCCCATCTCCTTCACAGCACCCCCTTCTCGAGGAGGAGGCGGAGGAGCAAGGAAGACGTGGAGCCCGTGTGCAGCACGCCCATCTCCGAGGGTAAGAAATCAGTCATTTGATCCGTCTTACGAACACAAGAGTTTTTATCTCAGACCGACGTCGTCGCGCATTTCCGCTTCCTGCCGTCGCCTCACTCGTCTGTTTCTTTCCTGCTGCAGAGAGTCACGGCTCTCAGAGACTTCACTGGAGGAGGACGAGTCAGGCGGACCCGCTGAGGAGAGTGTTACTGACCACACAGATAAAGGTCAGACCACACACACACACACACACACACACACACACACACATCAACCACCATTTCACCAGTTCGGCCTGGTTAGAAAAACCAGTGCAGACCTCTGCATCTTCTCTTTGCTTCATCAGTTTGAACCCGATTCCGTCTGAAGCGTCTGCCTTGTTCATTTTGGATTCTCCTCATATTCTCTTTGGTCATCCACAGAACCAGTTTGCTGCTCTGAACGTGCCAAAGAAAGAAAACTCTCAGATCGAAGGGCCCAGCATAGCCAACTCTTACGGCTTCAAAGTCAGCATGCAGAACTTACAGGAAGCCAAAGCTCTGCATGAGGTGAGCTGCTCCTGGACTCTGTTTAGTTAATGAACTTCTCTCATATCAGAGAAATCAGAGTGAGTTGATTTCTTTATTTTATTATTATTATTATTATTTTAAATTGCTGCGTTTTGAGCCGCAAATACTTTAGTAGCACCAATCACAAAGTGTCAAATACTGAAACCATATATATATATCTATATATATATAGATATATATATTTAGATATTCGTATCCACTTGATATCGGTTCAGTTAGAAATAAGTCCAGCAGGTTCACATATGGTTTCAGGAGGCGGTAGACTTAAGACACAAACTCATGTCTCTCCTCCTCCTCCTCCTCAGGTCCAGTACCTAACCCTGATGGGCATGGAGCTCCATGCAAGAACTCGCCGTGACCTGGAGCCTGACCCCGAGTTCGACCCCATATGTGCCTTATTCTACTGCCTCAGCTCTGACGCCCCCTTGCCTGATGTAGACGGCACACAGCTGACCGGTGCCATTGTGGTGGACAAAGACTATCAAAGCGGAGACGAAGGTGAAGATATTGCTTCCTTTTAAGTGTTCGTGTGTGATTTCTCTGAGGTGTTTGTGGTCGTGTCAGATCGATGAGTCTGTTCTTTAAATGTCTTCAGCAGGTGACAGAGGAACAGCGCCCCTGCTGGTCAGGTCGGGCGTCTCTGGGCTGCAGGTGAAATGTGCCACTGATGAGAAGATGCTGTTCCAGGAGCTGATCAGCATCATGAGGAGGTGTGTGTGTGTGTGTGTGTGTGTGTGTGTGTGTGTGGAGGAGATAATTATATATTTTTTGATCTTAACACTGAAGCCTCTGTGTTACCATGGCTGCGCTCTCGTCAGGTTCGACCCAGACATCCTGTTAGGATACGAGGTGCAGATGCGATCCTGGGGCTACCTGCTGCAGCGCGCCGCCGTGCTCGGAGTGGACCTGTGTCAGCAGCTGTCACGAGTGCCAGGTAGGGCTGCTCGCCGCCGACGCCAGTAGTTAATGTAGAAGGTTAAAGGTGCTATATGTAGTTTTTATTCCTCCGCACCTGCGACAGTCAGAGCCGGAGGCCATGTTGTTTTCGGGTTGTCCGTCCCGTTCTCGTGGACTCGATATCTCAGGGAGCTGCATTTGTTTGTGTGAATGTGTGTTTGGGTCTTTTTACAGTGTGTGTGTGTGTGTGTGTGTGTGTGTAGCAGCTGAGTCAAGAGCCTCTGTCAGCCCCCCTCCTCCTCCTCCTCCTCCTCCTCCTCCTCTTCTGTAATTGGCTGTCTGTCTGGCTCGTGTCCTCAGGTGACTCCAGAGAGAACCGCTTCGGCGCAGACACGGACGAGTACGGAGCCGACACCATGACGGAGATCCACGTCGTCGGACGCGTCACCATCAATCTGTGGAGGGTGATGAAGACTGAGGCAGGTGTCCCGGCGTGACCTCCACCCGTCTCACACACACACACACACACACACACACACACACTGTTTGAGCTGTGACCTGGTTTCTCTAGAAGTCAGGATTCTCACCATCACTTGATTTTTATTCCTCTGCGCCGGCGACAGCCAGAGCCGGAGGCATGTTGTCGCGTTGTCCGTCCGTTGGCACAAACATTCACTGGGGCTAAAGGATGATTAGATTTTGGTGGTTAAAGGTCAAAGGTCAAGATCAGTGTGACTTCAGACAGCACTTTTTAGCCATTACACAAGACTTCACACAGATGGTTCATATGTTCTGTGACTCTGCATAACCTGGGATGGAGCCTGGAACTAGTCTGAGGGATACGACCACGAGGATCTGCTGCGGCGACAGTCAGAGCCGGAGGCGTTATGTTTCAGCTTGTTGTCCGTCCGTCTGTCTGCAGTGGTTATAAGTAGACGTTTCATTTTCAGGGCTCAGAAGACGTAAATGTTCGGAGCCACTGTCATAAAGGATTCAGACGTATGATTTAGACGAGGAAACTCAGGGCGTTTCACAAACTGTACATTATGGCGGACGATGCTGCGTATTATTTTCCACCTACTCCACCTCGGGTGACTGACCACATCAACACCGTCATCAACGTCGCCTTTTTCTCCAGCGCCGGAATATTTCTGGAGTCGGAGGCTTTTCTGACTCAGAGACGGATTACTGCCGTTCTCTCTGTTTATCAGTTCATAGATTACAGTTTATCCAGAACTCGGTCGGCGTCCTGCTGTTTGTTTAAAATGTTCCTCCTGGTCTTCAAAGCACTCGGTGTTCTGGCTCCTCGGCGTGTATCAGACATGCTGTCAGTGAACCGTCCCAGCTGATCTCACTCTTTCCTCTCCAGTCAAGCGTTTTCTCAAATTACCACACAGACGTTTGGACCCTACTCTGTGTGTGTGTGTGTGTGTGTGTGTGTGTGTGTATGTGTGTATGGTGTGTATTGATCTGCTTTAGTATGAGATGGTTCTGTACAAATAACTTTGAATTCGAGCGACTTTTCTCCCGATACTGCGTTAATTATTATTATTATTTTCAACATTAACAGGTGACTTTGAACAACTACAGCTTTGAGAACGTGGCGTTCCACGTGCTGCACCAGCGTTTCCCGCTCTACAGTCCCCGCACGCTGTCCGACTGGTTTGACCACAGCACACACTTATACAGGTTTGTACCACACGTCGTCGTACGTGTGAACATGTTTATTTCAACTTTCAGAAAACACAAAGTACAAAGTCTGTCCTTGTATAATATAAAGCTGTGTGTGTGTGTGTGTGTGTGTGTGTGTGTGTGTGTAGGTGGAAGACGGTCGACCACTACGTGAGCCGAGTGTGTGGCACCATGCAGCTTCTGCAGCAGCACGACATCATCGGCAGAACCAGCGAGCTGGCCAGACTGTTCGGGATTCAGTTCTTCCACGTTCTGACCCGAGGATCACAGGTACCGACACACACACACACACACACACACACACTCACACGGGTCTTTGTGAACAGTGTGTATTCAGCCCTCAGGTTTCTGCTCTGTAGTCTTAAATCAGTCCCTCCAGAAAGTCGCGATGTCGCAATAATTAACGTAAATTCAACCAATCCCCGTGAATTCTGCGCAACTTTTCCTGAAAAATTTGGTCAAACATCATCACAGTTTCCACGAGTTGAACCAATCACATCAGTCCCTGAGCAACAACCGTGATGTACGTCAGCAGACTCACTTCCTTGTTTCTGGTTTTGAAGCTTGGAAGGATGGAGCTGTTTCACAGGCAGAAAGATGGACACAATTTTTTATTTTCTCCCGCGAAAAAACAACAAACATCTAAAAACATTATAACCTTTAAGAAAAGAAATCTGGTATTTTAGCCGCAACAATCCCAGATAAAATAAATCCTGGAGGGACTGATGAAGCTGTGAGAGAGCCGCAGGTGGATCCACTGACTCGTCAAATAACACTTTGGTGTATCACTGTTTCCTCTTCCTGTCCCCGCAGTACCGCGTCGAGTCCATGATGCTGCGTGTGGCCAAGCCTCTGAACTACATCCCCGTGACGCCCAGCGTCCAGCAGCGAGCCCAGCAGAGGGCGCCGCAGTGCCTCCCGCTGGTCATGGAGCCCGAGTCACGCTTCTACAGCAACTCACTGGTCGTACTGGACTTCCAGTCGCTCTACCCCTCCATCGTCATCGCGTACAACTACTGCTACTCCACCTGCCTCGGCCACATGGACAGCCTCGGCACGTAAGGACCCCCAGACCCACGGCGTGTTCTGGTTTAGGAGAGCTTCCTTCCGGCGCCGCCTCCCTCCCCTCATTATTTTTAATGGAGCCGACGTGCTGAGAGCTCGGCGTGTTGTTCACACCTCAGAGCTCTCTGCAAGTCACAGCAGATCTAAACTTTTTTGGCAGGATTATTGTAGTTGCTTAGCAACAGCCGTAGCCATGATCCGCTCCCTCCGATATGCATATGTTAGCAGAGAAGTGCCCCGCAGACCCTCGCTGGCTCCAACTTACAAATTAGCTCGGAGGACAGCTGGAGATCGTCTCCAGTTTTGAAACTAGTTTTCTTTTCTTTATAAAACACAGAGCAGCTTCATGCAACAGGTTTTTTTTTTTTCCCTGTGTGTAACTTTATCGACTCAAACGTCCAAAACAATGTGCGACCAAACAGCCTGTCGATGACACCTGCAGCACCCGGCAACCAACAGAGGATCATGGCTCAGAATGTGGTTTGTTCACATCGTCATGGAGACAGCGAAGAGGAGGGAAAGAGTTTTTAAAGATTAAAATCTAAAACGTCCTCGTAATGTTTTCTGCTGAGGGTAAACGGAGCTCAGCGGTCGGTCGGCCATTTTTTTTATTTTTGGGGGGGGGGGGGATTAGAAAAGTCTTCATTTACCCAGAATTCTTTGTCCCACAGTCCGGCTTTAGATAGTCAAGGACTAAACTGCTTTTGACAGAGTCTGTCTTTGTGGAACCGGCCTCTTGTTTGAGCACAATATATTTTAGATGATTCATTTTCTGTCACTACGACACATTCACTCGTTTATTTTTACAGCCGTTATCTGTGTCATATTCAACACATTGATGATTAGGACTTTTGATTAATGATCACACACACTGAATACTGAGAGATCTATGATTCAGTCACTTATTGAATGACTGTTAGAGCCTTAAGAAGTAAATACTGTTCAGTCATTTACAGAGATATTCAGCAGAAAGGACGAGTATAAATTTGTGTAGTAGAACAAAGATTTTCTCCAAATCAAAGGGCGAAACGATTGATTGATTGATTGATTGATTGATTATGTGTTTCACACAATGATATTCATACACTCGTGTCTCTGTCTCAGGCCTGACGAGTTTAAGTTCGGCTGCACCTCCCTGCGGGTTCCTCCCGAGCTCCTCTACCAGCTCCGCAACGACATCACCGTGTCACCCAACGGCATCGCCTTCGTCAAGGTACGGCGCCCTCTGACCGCTCCTCTCCGAACGCCGTCCTGGAAAACCGCTCGGCCCCGTTATAAATCACGTCTCTCAGCGACGGATCATCAGCTGCTGCGAACGCCGAGCACGTCTGCAGACGGGCTCGCTTCATGCTCTGCATCCCTCCATTCATTCCTTTCATTCACTCACTCTGTGCTCCACACTCCCTGGCTGCTGTCCCACAGTCTCATTACATAACACACACACACACACACACACACACACACACACACACACACACACACACACACACTCAGTCGTGGCCACAGCACAGTGAGTGATGAGGTTGTTAAAGAAGGAGACCAGGTTCGGTCTGGATCTGGTTTGATTTTGTAGTTAGCTGCTGCCAATCAAATAGATGCTCTGAAGATGTTCCTCATGTCTGTTCTGGGATGTCGCCCGTAGTCAGCTGATCGCTACGTGACGAGCGTGTGCAGAGTGACGTTAACAGAAGACGTCAGATCGTCACCGCCGCGTGTGACCTTTCAACTCTGCCGTTTCAGGAGGAGTTCGGTTCATTCTCGTGGACACGATATCTCCGTAAACGCCTCCACGGAACTTCTTCAAATTTGGCGCTAACATTCACTCGGACTCGAGGATGAACTGATTAGATTTTGGTGGTCAAAGGTCAAAGGTCAAGGTCACGGTGACCTCAGAAAACATTTTGTAGCCATAACTCAAGACAAAAATTCCCAGAAATGTTTAATATTTTATACGACTCTGGATAAACATCAGAGTGACCTGAAACTAGTCTGAGTGGCGGAGGGATACGAGCACGCGGAGGTGATTCTAGTTCATGGCGTCGGCTTCCTTCATGTTCAGCTTGACAGAGATAACAGATCAGCGGTCGGACAGTAACCTGTGATGTCGGTCGGAACATAATCAGATGCTAATTTTGAGAAACCGATTGATAAAAATAGAGGTGGAATCTGCTTCGTCCTCTAGTTCAGAGGTCCGTCTGTCAAGCAAGCAACAGAACCATTGGAACTTCCTGTCAGAACTTTTCAGAATTAAAGCTCACTATAGTTTGAAGAAAATGGAAAAAAAAAAAATGAGATTGCATGTACCTGTCCTCACCTGCTGGTTCTTTCTGTCCAGGCCTCAGTGCGTAAAGGAGTCCTGCCCAGCATGCTGGAGGAAATCCTCAGCACCAGGATCATGGTGAAGCAGTCCATGAAGACCTACAAGCAGGACAAAGCCCTCATGAAGCTGCTGGACGCCCGACAGCTGGGACTCAAGCTCATCGCCAACGTCACCTTCGGCTACGCTGCAGCCAACTACTCCGGACGCATGCCCAGCGTGGAGGTGAGCTCACCGGAGGTCACTGCGAGGAGGAGCGAGGAAGACGAGCTCGCATTAACTGAACCACATATATTCATGAGAGATAGTTTTGAGGCTCCATTTCTAATGTTCCTGTAAACGCTAACTGAAGTTTCTGCAGAGCCAGATGTTTGTGTTCCCGCGGTGCAGTATTCTGTCACTGGCGTCTCGTCTCTTTGTCGCTCTCAGGTCGGAGACAGCATCGTCCACAAAGCCAGAGAGACCCTGGAGAGAGCCATCAAGCTGGTCAATGACACCAAGAAGTGGGGGGCGCGCGTCGTGTACGGCGACACCGACAGGTGAGCAGCATCAGTCGCCGTCTCCGTCCCCAGAGCAGATACAAGTAAAACACACTCACCCTGACTGACGCTGCGTTAACACTGCGAGCGAGCCGTGATTACACCTGAGCTGCTTCTCATTCACACACGTCGGGTTTCCTGTCATTAACTTTTTAATTGTCTCACTCCAAGGTTCATGAATTAATTGTCAGCATCAAAAATCCATCAGTTACACACATAAAAGTTTGGAGGTTGTGCTGGTCCGGTCTCCGGCCTGTTGCACTGAGACAACAGACGGTCAGAAAGTCGCGATGTCGTGATAATGAACACGAATTCAACCAATCCCCGTGAATTCTGAGCGACCTTGTGTTTTTGTCCAATCACTGCAACTTTTCTGCAAATTTGCTGAACCGTCGTCGGCGGGAAGTTGAACGACTTTCCTCCGCTGACAAACTCATCGGCCGCTGACGGAGCAGCCGTGTCTCACTCTCATCACTCAGCTCCGCAGTAACTGACCGACGTCGTGGCGACGTGTTCACACACACTTCCTGTTTGTCGTCCGCAGCATGTTTGTTCTGCTGAAAGGAGCCACCAAAGAGCAGGCGTTCAAGATCGGCAACGAGATCGCTGAGGCAGTGACTGCAACCAACCCCAAACCTGTCAAGCTCAAGTTTGAGAAGGTAACACACACACACACACACACACACACACACACACACACACACACACACACACAGTATGCACATAGACACATTTAGAGGTAATGACTGATCTGTGTGTGTGTGTGTGTGTGTGTGTGTGTGTGTGTGTGTGTGTGTGTCAGGTGTACCTGCCCTGCGTGCTGCAGACAAAGAAGCGTTACGTGGGATACATGTATGAAAGCCTTGACCAAAAGGAACCCGTGTTTGACGCCAAAGGGATCGAGACGGTGCGCCGCGACGGCTGCCCCGCTGTTTCCAAGGTAACAAGCAAGCCATTTTTTTTTCCTCTTCTCGCCTGTTTCCCTGCGCTCCACGCCGCCTTCCTTCCCGCTCTCGTTTACTCAAACTTGACAATCTGGACAGAAACGTCCCGGTGTTCGTCCTGTGTCCAGTCATGGCGTCACGCCTCATAATCATATTTGAATGTCCAGGGATCCAACAGGAAGTAGAGTCCCGTGTTTCACACGAATCCTGCTTCATCTCTCACTCCTCCGTTCTTATTCTCTCCCTCCTTCACTCGCACGCCGTCCTCAGATCCTGGAGCGTTCCATTAAGCTGCTGTTTGAGACGCGGGACATCAGCCAGGTGAAGCAGTTCGTGCAGCGTCAGTGTGTGAAGGTTCTGGACGGTCGGGCCAGCATGCAGGACCTGACCTTCGCTAAGGAGTACAGAGGCAGCGGCTCGTACCGGCCCGGAGCCTGCGTCCCCGCACTGGAGCTCACCAGGTGAGATGTGTGTGTGTGTGTGTGTGTCTGTGTGTGTGTGTGTGTGTGTGTGTGTGTGTGTGTGTGTGTGTGTCACTGAACGTTTGACAGACACCTGCCGAGAAACTGCTCAAAAAACACAAAATAAAACAGAGAAAGTCCTTAGTTTCACTTGGATGAATATCTTTGCTTGTTTACTGTGTGTGTGTGTGTGTGTGTGTGTGTGTGCGTGCGTGTGCGTGTGCGCGTGTGCGTGTGTGTGTGTCTGAGACAGACAGAGCGTGCTGTCAACTACAGTTACTGTACTCAGTGTGAATCCAATTACTCCTTCCCCACAGTGCTCATTGTCTGGCTGCACTAGCCTGCGTGTACAGTACCTGAGTCTGTTGCTAGGCAACCCAGTTCTAAATGGGTGAAGAAGAAAAAAAAAAATCAGATTTCAGATTCAGCCTGGGTAAGAAGGAAATATTCAGCTGTGGTTACAGTTTATCTCCTGTGTCGATCAGCAGCAGCTTATCCTTCATGTTGGCGCTTTTATTGTGAAATATTTATTATTTAAAGTCGAATGTAGAATATCTTCCTCTGCAGGAGAACACGAGTAGAAACAGTCATGAACAGCCGTGTCAAGTTTTCTATTAGTTTTGACCAGTTTTGTGTCTCTCAGGCGTATGATGGCGTACGACCGGCGCCTGGAGCCACGCGTGGGCGAGCGGGTTCCCTACGTGGTCGTGTACGGGCTGCCCGGCGTCCCCCTCATCCAGCTGGTGCGTCGGCCCATGGAGGTTCTACAGGAACCCGCCCTCCGGCTCAACGCCACCTACTATGTCACCAAGCAGATCCTGCCGCCGCTGGCCCGCATGTTCCAGCTGATCGGGGTGGACGTGTTCAGCTGGTACCAGGAGCTCCCCCGGGTGAGCAGCACATCTGTGTTTTAATAATTCACTCATACAGCAACATGAAAACCTTCAGAATAAAAGAAGCAAAGGATCTGAATGAGCTCGAGTTTGGAGAATTGATTCTTGATTAATAGATTTTTACGTCTGACTGATAAACGACCGATGATCCTGCTGTTGGCGTGAGGGAGAAAATGTCGCCCCTGGTCAGAATGGCAGCAGAGAGCGGCGGGTTTCTTTCCCTCCGTGTGTTTAGTGCAGAGAGAACAAAGGATGAAGAGAAAATCTCTCCTTCCTGCTGAGGCTCGAATGAGACTCATCAAACTGCAGCGCTGATGTCTCACGTCTTTGTGTCAGTCCTGAAGTCGGCTGCTGGCGGAGCGCTCACGCCCTCTGCTGGCGGAGCGGAGCGGAGTTCATCTCAGGAAATGAACGTGACCACAGTCGCTGCTCTGTTTGCAATACGTTTGTATTTACTGGAGTAAAGCTTCAGGTGTATGACGATGGTGTTTTTTGTTTTTGTCTGTCTCTCTCGGCGTCTCGCTGCAGATCCAGAAAGCGTCCTGCTCCTCCGGGGGGGAGGAAGTGGGCAGGAAGGGAACCATCTCCCAGTACTTCACCACGCTCCACTGCCCCGTGTGCGACGAGCTGACCCAGCTGGGCGTGTGCTCGCGGTGTCGCGCCGAACCTCAGAGAGTCGCCGTCACACTCTACCAGGACATGAGACAGTGGGAGAGTCAGCAGGACCAGCTGCTGAAGGTGAGAGACGAGCCTCTCCGGACGTGTTTGGTTTGAGGTGTAGATGATGTTGAATCACCTAGAAATACTTTAGAAGATTTAACTGCTGAAAACAAGATTCCAGACGTCTCTCGTTTCCCTGAAAAGTTTCCAGGTCACACCTGTGTCAGGACTCAGGTGTTCATCTGGCATTAAAGGCGGGAACAGAGAAACTTGTGCAGCAGATGAATGTGAGAACAAACACATCCGTGGTTCAGGAGGCAGAGCGGCTCGTCCACTAATCAGAGGTCGTCGGCTTCCCGGCTCCTCCAGTCCACATGTGCAAGACACTGAACCCCCCCCCCCCCCAGTGTCACAGGTCCGATCCCCAATGTCCACCTGGTTAGGTCCGTGAGGGTTCAGTGTCTAACCGCATTTCTGCAGATTTTGCCTGAGGGAATTACCCAAAGTTCATAGCTTTGTGACATTAAACACAGGGTTACCGTGGTTACCAAGGGTCACTTGGAAGCGTAAAAGAACGGTACACAACAGACATAACAGGAAAAGAAATAATAATAAGATAGAAGAATGGTCAACAAAGAAGCATGAAAGGAGCTAACGCTAACATTAGCATAAACACGGAGCTCAGCGTGACTCCGCCCGGTCGTGACACCATGAGAAATTCATAACCTGCTCTCGTCACATCTGATCCTACGTCATTATTTTCTTTACAAACAGGAAGTGAAGGGAGGGAATAAAGAGCGTGAAATCAAAAGTCCCAAACCCACAACTGTATGAAACATGTTTTGGTGTCGTCACATGATGATGATGTCACAAAGTGCTGTCAGTTAAAGTTAATGAACTAATAATTAATTGCTGCTTGGTTGTGATGTGGTAACTGATGTGGAGGTGGGGGCAGATGTGGATTCTTCCGTCAGAGTCTCTGTGAACCAGAAGAGAGGATCTGAACCCGGGGTGGTGGGGGCTGTTCCTCCTCTCAGTGGGAACAGGGGGAGTCTGTGATGATCCCGACCTTTGACCCGGTCTCGTGTGTGTGTGTGTGTGTGTGTCTGTCCAGATCTGCAGGAACTGCAGTGGCTGTGCCGAGCGGCAGGTTCCCTGTGTGTCCCTGGACTGTCCCGTCCTCTACAAGCTGGCCCGGGTCAACAGACAGCTCTGCAAGGCCCCCTACCTCCGACAGCTGCTGGAGCAGTTCTGATTGGCTCCTGAACACTGGCGCTCCCTGATGATTTGGTGCTAATTGTTGCCCCCCCCACCCCTCACCCCATCTCAGTGTTTGATTGTCCGTTCAGTTGTAATATTTTAAATGGTGCTTCGATTGAACCCTGTTGGGTTTTCATTGTCTTGTAACTGTTATTTGTTATACAAGTGTTTCTGTGTGTGTGCAGACTGTCGGGTTTCAGCCTCCTGTGGGGAGTGCCCCCCCCCCTGCCCCTCTGCCCCTACTTGGGCCCGTGTTCGTCTCCATGCTTGTTTGCCGCCATCTCCCATTAGCTGCTATGGGCTGAGTGAGGCCGGTGTCCGTGGTGACATCACGGCGCCGAGTGCGACGTGTTGTGTCGTCGATGCGCTGTAGCAGTTTGAAGTCTTCGGTTTTTAACGAGCTCCGGACAAATCTCAAGAACGACCTACACTCAAACCAATAACAGACTTTTCTTCATTTTTATATGACGGCCGCAGTCTTGTAAATACTTCCTGTATAGCTCCTCTATGACATCACTGTGCATTAGCATCAGAAAAACTAAAGCTCCGGCCATGAATGCAATCAAACCTGTTTTTACGCCTTCTGTTAAAGGACGCCGTTTCTCATCTGATTAACCTCGATTGTATTGATGTCCATTTTGGCAGATTTGACACTTCATACTCTGCAGAGTGGGAACTGGAAACCATTTCAGTTTTTATTTTTAAATCTGGGACTGTTGCAATACTGTATTTTGATAATTTATGTCATGAAGAGTCTATTATTTCCTTGTGCATATGGTTTTATGTAACTTTCCAATTTTTCTGTGCAAAGAAAAAACAAAACAAAACCTGTCATCAAACTATATCAAGATCTGATCTTCAGCTCCCCGAACAGCTGTACACAGGATCTGTGTATTTGTATAAATGTAAAAAATGATGATAATGAAGGAGGTGTTTTTTGTTTGTTTTTAATGGACATTGCTGTGGGTGGAGGTTTGAGATTGATATAATAAAAAGTTAAACGCCTTCTTCTTCTTCGAGTGCTTTAGTTTTTTTTTTTGTTTTTTTTTTTTAAAAACTTCAAAAATCACGGTAACAACACGTGTTAGTCACATGACACGTTACAGCACGGAAAAACAAACATCAAAACCTGATCTTTATCAAAAGTGCAACGAAAAAAACCCACTTCATTCAAATCTTACACAACTATCGTCATCACATTCACAGCAACAGTGCAAAATTAATTACAGTTTTAAGACGGAGACTTGGGGCCACACGGAGGGGAAAAAAGAAAACGTTTAAAATTACCAGAATAAAGTCGGAATTTTACGAAAATTTAAAATTTCAAGAGAAAAACTATTTTTTTTGTAATATTACATCAACCAATCAAAACAGGTGAGAGGACAGTCAGTGGCAGTAGAATCACCTAAAATTAAAACTTTATTCTCATAATATTTTGACTTTTTCCTTTTAAATTTTATGATTTTATTCTCAAAATTTCCTTTTGTTTCCGTCAGTGTGGCTCTAATACTCCGTCATGGTTTTTGGCAGCAGGATGACATGATGATGACGAGGGCGAGTGTCCCATGTTCAACTCATTCACTCTGCTCACGCGTCCTTTGAGCAAGGCACTGAATTCCTACCAGCACTGAGGGGCTTCCGCTCTACAGCCCACCCTGACCTTTGACCTCAGCGGGCCGACACAGATCCTTCACATTAAGACCGTCTGTAGTGCGCTGTAGAGTTCAGTCTTCTCCGTCTTCATTCCAGCGGGCGTCTGAAACATGTTTGTATAAGCTGCACGATTGGGACAGGAGCCAGTGTTGCATTCACTGACCTGTAAATGATCAGAACTGTACATGAACATTTCCAGGTTCTTCTGTTCAGAGAGAGATCAACAGCACTTAGGAGTCACAGGAGGAGGAGGAGGTTTCAGTCTTTCTTCTCTCTGTCGAGGGAGAGCAGCAGTTTGCGTCTGGGGGAGTCTCCGACCAGAGAGATGGCGTCCGAAAAAGTGGCTCCACCTGCGGCCTCCGTCACCTGGAGGTTGGAGGCGGAGCTCCCTGTCAGAGCGGGGACGTCGGGGAGGGAGGAAGCTTTACTGGGTGAATTCACCAAACTCACTGTGTCGTCCATCTCAATCACCTCGAAGTCTGCATCGTTCCACTGATCCGCCTCGTTCTCCTCCTCCTCCTCCTCTTCGTCATTGGCTCCTGAGTCCAGCAGCGCCTGGCGGAATTCGCTGTCGTCGGCTTCAGGTTGGCTCCTGCCGCGGGGTTTCCTGCCCTGACCGCTGGGGGCGGAGGCCAGCTTGTACATGACCGGGAAGAGGATGGAGGTGAAGGTGGCGGTGATGAGCGACAGGTACATCAGCAGGGGGTGATCCGGGAACTTCCCCAGCAGGAAGCCGACGAGGGCGGGCAGCACCATCTCCCCCAGCGCCGCACCCACCACGAACACCGCGGCGGTGTGGCCCGTCACCGTGGTGTACTGCTCCACCCAGGAGATGCCACTGGGGAAGGTGGTGGCCATGGACGCTCCGTAGAGACCGGTGCAAACCCATAAGGCCGCCTTCTCCCTGCTGAAGCGGCAGAGGAGCAGAGAGGAGAGGGTGGAGCCCACCAGGCTCAGCAGGATCAGGGTGCCCGGGTACACGCACGCCGCGAAGAAGATGGCCAACCCCCGACAGGCAGCAAACGTCGCCCAGAACAACGAGTTCAGCCCGGCCGCCTGCCACTGGCGCATGTGGGCGTAGTCCTTGGCAAAGGTGAAGATGAAGGAGCCGTATGCCACCTCAGCACCTACGTATGCGAAGAAGAAGAAGAAGAGCAGGACGACAAGAGCCATGTGATGTTTGGCCACCAGCGGCTTTCCTGACGACAGGCGGGCTTTGTCACGTGACACGCTGCTGCGAGCGTAGAGGACGAAGAAGAGGAAGGAGATGAGGAAGACGAAAGAGCCGATCACGACGTAGGCCCACATGGATGTGAGGGTGCTGCTCCGGCTGTGGACGTAGCGGATGATTGTTTGAGCGTCGGCGGCTTTGGTGATTTGCTCTGTGGCGGCGGGAGGCGAGGAGCTGGGGGGTGTGGTTCCTGTGCTGCTGTTCCCATCAGGCCCGAACAGAAGCTTGGCTATGATCGGAGACACGAAGGCTCCCGCCGCAAAGCTGAAATGCAGAGCCTGCATGTGAGGGCCCGCCTGCTCCCCCCACGTGTTCAATATGAGCACATTCCCACCTGAGAGAGAGAGACAGAGAGAGAGAGAGAGAGAGAGGAAAACTACATGATCACCAGATACAATCATTTCCTCTTCATCTTCCTCCTTTTACAGTAACTACAACAACTTGTTTTGCTGCATTTTCAAATCATTCAGCTGCTGCAGATGGACGAGGTGACCTGGTGACACGCTACGATTCACATCACATTTTAATCTTATCAATTACACCTGCGCTTTTCCTGCAGTTAACATTCGTATGTCACGTTACTAAATGATTTCTGCTGTCATGAGGGGAAATATGTTCCTTTTTCTTTCTTTTTCTTTCACCCCTCTTCAGTGAGTGAAAGGTTCTTCCATGGCAGCTCTTCGATCCGCCCGTTACTTCAACATAGCGTGTGTACTTTTCTCCTTAGGCCTTTGTAAATAAAGCGACTTGTGTTGTCTTACCTGTATCCAGAACACCCATAGACATCCCAATGCTGGACATGAGGCCGGTGAGGACCAGAGCCTGCTTACAGAAGGGGATAGCACACATCCCAAAAGCTGTGACCAGCATAGAAAAACCTGGAAACAGATCGTCAGAGAGAAAGTCTTCATCCACCCAAAGGTTATGAGACACAACGCTAGCATGTTGGAAGACTGACAACAATGTGGGGGGGGGGGGTTACCCAGCAGGAGGTGTGGGTTCATGCAGTCGAACAGGATGCCTCCTAAGAGGGATCCTCCGATGTATCCGGCAGAGCGGCCGACGAAGATGTAGGAGATGTTGCTGATGTTCTTCTTCACATTCACAGCCAGGTCCTCGAAGGTGGGGCCGAGAACTGAGATGCTCATCCCCTAGAACAACAACACGGCGGTTACCGTGGTCAGAACGGGTTACAAACACTAGTTTCACCTTCTTATGCACAAAAAAAGGGCGTTAAGTGTTTTAAAAAACATTGTGCTGCAGTGAACTTTCTGAAAACACTAAAGCTTCCTTATTTCTTCCTTATTATTATATTGCAAGTATCTTTGATATATTTGTTAATGACCACTGAAGTAAAAATTACAAGTAGGAGAGAGAGTAATTTTAGAGAAATGATGAACCCCGTGTGGCATGTATTGTAAAGCCCTTAGAGTGGCTGTAAGATAATATACTATATACTATATAAGTGCAGTCAGTTTATCTATTTCATTCTGTAAGTGAATAAAAGTGAACCAGGCAGCTGCTGGAACAACTGAGCCCGTGTGTGAAGGACAGGAAGTGAGCAGACACTCAGGTGTGTGTTGGTGGACTTTACTCATCTGATGTGGTTAAAGTGGTTGTAACTAACACTGGAGCATTCACGTGAACACACGTTACAACACGTAACAACCGCTCTATTGCTCAATGATCACTGGAGTCATTAATAAAGGTGTATGAATATATGTGATTTAGTTGTACCTGGGCCTGAATGCTGCTCATGATGCAGTGTGTGGCCTGTTAGACGCAAACAGCTGTTATCTCTACAGAAAGAGGTGTTTTAGTCTTTCTCTGTGCATAAGAGAAGATAATATCTCACAATAACTCATCTTTTTATTATTTGTTTTCCTCATTTATCCACATTTTTAAATAACTCCTTCATTTCTTGAGCATCAGGAGCTGTTTTGTTATGCTAACTGATAACATCAGAATAATCTTAGCTAGCTAAATAAACGAATTATATCAATCCCTACACAGGTTGTATTTAATTAGGAGAAGGCCTGAGGAAACACAGGCGACATTTTGGTGGAATATTTTCCGCTCTCCTCCACTTCCTCATTTACCAAGCCCAGGAAAGATGCACAGAGCGCCAGGGTGACGATCCAGCGGCCGCACGCTCCGTATCCGCTCCTTCCTCCGCCGACCACTTCCACACGGTCGTCGCATCCCGGCTTGGCCGCCCTCTTGACCGCCTTCAGCGCACTCTTCAGCCCTCGCCCGGTGTCCTTCCTCTTGTCGAACAGGGTGTCCTCCTCCTGGTCGTCGTTGTCGTCGTCGTCCTCCTCCATGCTGGCGAATCTAACGTGTTTCTTCTTCACGACGGCGGACGAAGACATACCTGTCACTTACTACGACCGTCGGTAGTGATGGTGCGCTGTCAGACTGCCGTTAACAGCCGAGTAAACATCGACGCACCACCCGTTTTAGGTTTAATTGGCCTCTTCCCGTTTCACCTCTTCTTGTTTAGACGTTTCTAAACTGAAGACGTTGAAATAAAGTGGGACATCTTTAAACAGCTGGGTGGTTCAGAGAATGACAGCGGAGCGACGCAGCAGCCGCGGAGTCTTCCATATGTCAACAATGAATTTATGGCTGCTGGAGACTCGCAAAGATCGTCTATTGATAGTGAGGCTCACTCGGTGCGTTAAAGTCACCCACCTTCCGAATGACGCGGATGAAACTCATTTTTACTAATGAATCTGTCTAAAACAAACTGCAGCGAGTGTTTGTTTGTTGGGGTGTTTGTTTTATCTACCTTCCACCGCAGATATTGGTGGGTTTAGCTGTAGTGTTTATTGCTTTTGATGAGTGTTTCCCACATTTCATCTGCACAAGGGCGTAGGTTTGGTCTCAACAGGGGTAGGGACGCAGCAACCCCGCCACCCCTCCAAAACAAAGAGATTGGCTTTTTAATACCGTCAACTAAACGGTTTACTAACATATAAGGTCTGAATTTGCATTCAGAAATGTCCATACGCGAATGTAATGGGCCTATATGTACATGTATTGAATTTCCATATATGAATATGAAGTAAAATCATATGTATGTAAAGTATAGCATACTGTATATGTAAAAATCACATATGAAACCTATTAAAAGTTGGCATGATATCATATATTTACATATATGTCAAGCTAATAGAAAAATGTATTTTAGTATTGGTAAGGCATAAAGAAGTCATAAAAATGACATAGTTTAATAGGGCATAAAAATGTCATAGTATAGTAAGGCATAAAAATTCATGAAAATGACATAGTATAATAAGGCATAAAAATGTCATAGTATAGTAAGGCATAAAAAGTCACAAAAACGACATAGTTTAGTAGGGCATGAAAATGTCATAGTATAGTAAGGCATAAAAATTCATGAAAACGACATAGTTTAATAAGTCACAAAAACAACATAGTTTAGTAGGGCATAAAAATGTCATAGTATAGTAAGGCATAAAAATTCATGAAAATGACATAATTTAATAAGTCCCAAAAACGACATAGTTTAATAAGGCATAAAAATGTCATAGTATAGTAAGGCATAAAAATTCATAAAAATGTCATAGTATGGTAAGGCATAAAAATTCATAAAAACGACTTAGTATAATAAGGCATAAAAACGCCATAGTATAGTAAGGCATAAAAATTCATGAAAACGACATAGTATAATAAGGCATAAAAATGTCATAGTATAGTAAGGCATAAAAAGTCACAAAAACAACATAGTTTAGTAGGGGATGAAAATGTCATAGTATAGTAAGGCATAAAAAGTCACAAAAACAGCATAGTATAATAAGGCATAAAAATGTCATAGTATAATAAGGCATAAAAATTCATGAAAACAACATAGTTTAATAAGGCATAAAAACGACATAGTATAATAAGTCATGAAAATGTCATAGTATAGTAAGGTATAAAAATTCATAAAAATGTCATAGTATAGTAAGGCATAAAAATGTCATAGTATGGTAAGGCATAAAAATCCATAAAAACGACATAATATAATAAGGCATAAAAATGTCATAGTATAGTAAAGCATAAAAAGTCACAAAAACGACATAGTTTAGTAGGGCATAAAAATGTCATAGTATAGTAAGGCATAAAAATTCATGAAAACGACATAATTTAATAAGTCCCAAAAACGACATAGTTTAATAAGGCATAAAAACGACATAGTATAATAAGTCATAAAAATGTCATAGTATAGTAAGGCATAAAAATTCATGAAAACGACATAGTATGGTGAGGCATAAAAAAGTCATAAAAATGACATAGTTTAATAAGGCATAAAAATGTCATAGTATAGTAAGGCATAAAAATTCATGAAAACGACATAGTATGGTGAGGCATTAAAAAGTCATAAAAATGACATAGTTTAATAAGGCATAAAAATGTCATAGTATAGTAAGGCATAAAAATTCATGAAAACGACATAGTATGGTGAGGCATTAAAAAGTCATAAAAATGACATAGTTTAATAAGGCATAAAAATGTCATAGTATAGTAAGGCATAAAAATTCATGAAAACGACATAGTTTAGTAGGGCATAAAAATGTCACAGTATAGTAAGGCATAAAAAAGTCATAAAAATGACATAATTTAATAAGGCATAAAAATGTCATAGTATAGTAAGGCATAAAAATTCATGAAAACGACATAGTTTAGTAGGGCATAAAAATGTCATAGTATGGTAAGGCAAAAAAACGACATAGTATTATAAGGCATAAAAATGTCATAGTATAGTAAGGCATAAAAAGTCACAAAAACGACATAGTATAATAAGGCATAAAAGCACCATAGTATAGTAAGGCATAAAAATTCATGAAAACGACATAGTTTAGTAGGGCATAAAAATGTCATAGTATAGTAAGGCATAAAAAGTCAAAAAAACGGCATAGTATAATAAGGCATAAAAATATCATAGTATAGTAAGGCATAAA